GCGGCGTAGAGCGAGAGGCATGAGCGCATGCGCGTGAACTCCCGGCTGCTCCCACCCGAGTGGGGAGGGCCGCCATCTTCGATCATTCTCCCGGCGGAATGCGTGGGATCGGCATCTAAATCTCGATTATTGCCTTTTATATTGCTGGCTCTGACAAGAAAATGACATTCTGTTATTCCTCGGTGGGTTAAAAAGCAAATAAATTAAGATTTTTACGCGTATAGCCACAAACTTTTATTCAGGCGAAAAAGAAGCCGGCCCGTAGCAGACGATGCGTAGCCTCAGCAGTGCTCTTCTCCGACCAGTCTCCGACAGCGTTGCTAAACAATGGCAGTCGTCTCCTCTCTGCTCCCTTCTTTCTCTCTCGCTCCTTCGGCGCTCTCCTCCCTTTCATTTACTTTTCTCGTCTCCAGCGCCTTCGTCGCCACACCCACTGGCCAAACTCTCCCAATATACGGCTCTGATCGAGCGCTCACGGCTGCCGCACTCCGTGTCGACCAAGGAGGTTAGAAGTACTAGGAGGGGGCACGTTGCTATATTGGTGAAGCCTAGTCATAAAAAGTTTAAACGATTTTGTGCCCAGCGTGACCGCAGATCTCTCTGGCGATTGGTGCGCGTGACATGTCACGTGTGAGATGGATGGTTGATTCTAGAAGGACTCCTCGCAGGCTTGCGCGCGCTCCGTCCGGTAGGTTTTATCAGATCGAAGTCTAGACTGTGGTGTATTCTAGTACCCCATAGCAAGACGAAGGCGAGCTACGGTCACGTGATGTGGTCACGTTGGCAAGGTAAGTGAGGAGAGTAAGGAGGAAAATGAGAAAGAGGCGAGGCGTCAAGGGAGCATGGCTTGCGGAGGCTACGCGGCAGACGTCATGCCTAGAGTTCCTGTATATGCTACCTACGGTAGCAGAGTTGCGCATTCAGCCTCGGCGCGTGGCCGTAGCGCCGGCTTCCCCGGCCGATCTGGTTGCTTTGCTCCTCACGTGACTAAATTTGGCGAATAGCGGCGCCGCGCGCGCCGCCGCGCATGGAAAACAGGAGAGGAGGAAAAGGAGGCGGAAAGCAGGGAAACATACGCCGGGGCAAGAGAAACGTCGGCGGAGCGACCGTAAAGGTGGCTTTCTTGCACGCCAAGGGATGCTTTGCTCCTCACGTGATCGGATCTCGGCGAATAGCGGCGTGGCGGCGCGGGGAAAACAAATGCGCAACTCTGGCTCCCGTAGGGAGCCTATACAGGAACTCTAGTCATGCCCTCTCCTACCCTTCTATTCTCCATGGTGTCGACGGTGCGAGAGGGCACGTGTTCTGGATAGGCTGTATGCAGCGGGCAGCCAGAGCGGCTCTCATTGCATTTGCTGCGCGATTAAATACTAATTCGGCATGACATTTTATTGGCCACAAACGACAGCAAACACGGGGTAAAGATAAGTTCAGAATGGGAGCTACTTTGCGCTGCCATACCGCGAAACGGCCAAACCGCAAGACAACGCTTTTCGCCGAAGGCCTTCGGAACGCTCGGAGCCGGTCGGATCCTCCTGCCCATACGACCGCAGCGCCGCCGCGTACATCCGGGACCTTTTCGTGTCTGCGCCTGATCCAAGGAGGTTAGAAGTACTAGGAGGGGGCACGTTGCAATATTGGTGAAGCCTAGTCATAAAAAGTTTAAGCGATTTTGTGCCCAGCGTGACCGTAGATCTGTCTGGTGATTGGTGCGCGTGACATGTCACGTGTGAGATGGATGGTTGATTGCAGAAGGACTCCTTGCAGGCTTGCGCGCTCTCCGTCCGGTAGGTTTTATCGGGTCGAAGTCTAGACTGTGGTGTATTCTAGTACTCCACAGCAAGACGAAGTCTAGCTACGGTCACGTGATGTGGTCACGTTGGCATGGTAAGTGAGGAGAGTAAGGAGGAAAATGAGAAAGAGGCGAGGCGTCAAGGGAGCATGGCTTGTGGAGGCTACGCGGCCGACGTCATGCCCTCTCCTACCCTTCTATTCTCCATGGCCTGATCCCACTACTCCTTTCTAGTATGCGCCGCCTTTTCTACCGCTTGGTGGCGGGTATGTCGACGGGTCATTTTTTGTTTCCGTACTTTATGAACTGCATTCGTTTCTTTTTTTATCTAAAATGCTGAACGAAAACTATTTTTATAAATAATTGAAACGGTTCGCGCCATTTATATTTTGTATTTTGACTAAAAAGAAGCTTTTAGCGGCTCTGACCAGTAGTAAGCTCAGGACCAAAGACGTCGCATTTTGCGCGCTTTCGGTACCGCGGGTCGCCCTCGTCGGTGGAGGAGGTTTTCGCGTCGTCCGGTTAAAATATGACGCACTGATATTTAGTTACTCTCTCCGTGCCCGCTGGCTTGCCCGAACCCCGAGACATGGAAACCGCAAAAAAGGCATACGCTTAAATATGATTGCAGGGCCCCTTCAAGCAATAAAGGACAGCAAAATCAGCTGCTTGTAGTGGCCAGGCCTCATAATCGGAGCTCACAAGCTCCGCACAAGGTGGATGGTTGGGTCAGTATCCAAACCGGTCACCATTACTTCCCTTACGTAACACTTTGTGACTCTGCCTTGAGCCGACCCTTTTCAGTTGCTTGCAAGACGAGATACTGAAGTGACGATTAAGTGACTACAAGTGGATGGTAGGAACAGGTGCGGCGTCGGCGGTCTATCCATCCCTGAAGCTATTAAAACGAACGAGGTCCCCTGTATCGTGGACATTGACTTTTGTTAATCCTCCAGGTCGTTCTCAGCCATTTCGAAGAAAATATGCACGCGAAGCGACGACAGAAAGACACGTTCAGATTGGCGAAAGACGGAACGCCACCAAATAACACACGTAAACACATTGACCGGAAGACAAGCCAGGCCTAGCGCGGACGACAGAGCGGCGGTCCCGGAGCCACGAAAAGTGTTTCGAGCGATTCCCGCGAGGGCGTGCCACGATCGTGGTCAAACTATGAAAAAGGTCCATTCTTGCCCGCAAAACATCTTGAAAACCGGCACTTTGAGAAATTTGCAAACTGTCGAGTTCACGAGCTGCAATTACTAAAAAATGTCTGGGGGAAGGGAGGGGGGGAGGGGGGGGGGGGGGGGGCAATACATAGTTTCCACGTGACGTCACTTCCTCTACTTCCGCCCGCCGGCCGCTGTCGCCAGGTGCTGAGAAGCAGACGTGGACGCTGGTGCCGCCACATGTGCACCACTCGATTGCTACTTCGCTACGGAATTAGTATCGCTCGTACAGCGCGATACTAGTGAAAGCCATTTGCAATGAGTCCTGCTCTTCCTATTTCGAAGAGCCTGTGGGCCCCACACGGGCTCGATATTAGTCTTCATGCCTAAAAGGGCCTGAATGCCCACAACTATTTCAAGACTGGATGGGTGAAGAGCCTGACAGCGATGCGTCTCACATCGAAGCGCATCGTCGTGCTGAGCGAGGGGAGGTGACAGGCAATAAACAAGCGTCTTTATGAGAGCTGAAGAGCCGAAGGTTTGCCTGCAAACGAAGAGATCTGCCCGAACTTGCCGCATTAAAATTCGCAGCATCTTAGCTGGATAAACTTGGCGCCGCCACCGCAACACCATTGACACAAGTGTGATTACAGACACGCTGCGAGAAAGGTATAAGCACATCCCTGCAGCGTGACGCTACCAGACGCCAAACACTGCCTCGGCCGCTATGGCAATGCGCACAGGGTGCGAACGTATTCCTTACCGGTAACGAAGTGACGACCGCAGACACGGACACTCCTGATGTATGCGAGCAAGCCAGAAGCTTCGGCGTTTCTCGGACAGCAGCTTTGTACGCTCACACCGTCGCGTTATCAGCTTTGGCAAACGGTGCAGCCCTACATTTGGCACTGTGTTACTCTGCTGTACAGAGGACTTGTTTCTGCTTCGGCAGCCGAACATCCCGCACATCGGCATGACTGCTTCCATTGTGACCGCGACCGCACACCAGAAAAAAAAGACATGCACCGTGTGCGCCGCAAACGTCGTAGCGACGCAGCCAACGCAGCAGCGGCCAACGTTGCCGGCGTCGATTCTGAAACCGAAACCAAGTCAGTACCTGGCAATGGCGCTGACATATCCCATAAGGCCTGGCTGTGGCACCGACCTCTATGACAATTTGCTGTATCGCGCATCCCTGCTTCGAGCCCATTGCACAATTGCGGCCAACATTTTGTCAGCGAGAGTAAAACTACTCCATGGCCACTTGACTTTATCCAACATTCGACACCATTTCCAAAAATAACTGATGCACCCCCAATTACCGCTGGGGCAATTCGTACCAGTTAAAAGAAAACTCTGTACAAGGAAATAAAAGGACATAATGAAAGATTGTTAAAATATATTTGTAATTTACTTTGAAAGTATGTCCTATTTAGAGCACTTCAAGTACATCGCACCCAGTGCATTTACTACTTTACTTGAAGTTGAAGTACATAACCTCTCATTTACATTGTGCTTCAAGTACTTTTTGGATGTACTTTCCCCAACACTGCCCCTACCCCGTTATTCACTGGATTGTTTCCTATGTGCCAAGAAATTGAGGGAGAGGAGGAGACGAGAGTGTGCGAGGACATCTGAATGCCAAGCTCCGATTGAAATGAATAGTGTGTAGACCTAAAGCTAGCCTTTGTCCCTATTGCACTCACCGAGAGTGTTAAAACATGAAACGCCGGTGTCTGCTATTGGCACTCGCATTCTAACGCATTGGAAGAGCGCAGTGGAGATGAAGGCCGTTAGCTTCAGGTCTACCCACTAATCATTTAAAAAAGTTCTCAGCATGCTGACGTCCCCGCATGCTTTCGTCTCCTCCTCTCCCTCAGTTTCTCGGCGCATTGCAATCAGCGACTTTCTGCATGCTTCGTAAATACGACACGAGGATCTTACTTTTAAAAAGAAACGAGCATTGACCAGAATTCAGGACTAAAGTTTGTTTGCCAAGCATTCCTGCTGGTGAACTTGAGAGACAACGTATCGCGAAATAACCGTGGAAAAAAAATTTATTTCGATCACTTAGATACTGGAATAGACAAGCTTTCTGGTCTTACAAGACGCCCGACACAGTTGGACCCCGCGTATATATAGTTGTAGCCATTTCTTCTTCCTTGGCTGTCCAGTTAGACCACTTCATACTTCTCCACTATCAGGTAGGTGTTCAGGGAGTGTTTCACCGGTGCTTCGTCATCCACAGAAACGACGTCGAGCACCTGAAAGGTGGCAGAACAATCTTTTCAGTATGAACGCAGAAAAATGAAAAGTTTCACACTTTTAAACTAGATTTTAAAATCTGGTGGAATTCTTGAGCCTTCCGTGTCATGCTTAAAAAACCGCAACACCGGACAACATCCGGTGAAAAACCTCTCGTGACCCCAAGCAACCTAAAGGATAAAGCACTGCCGGTGCCTCATTAAAGTACCCAGCTCGATGAGGCAAGCCGCCTCTCTGGCTACACCATAGATTCAAAAAGGCAGATAAAGAACGATAGTTTATGTAAAAGCAACATAACGGTAGCCTGCCAGCCGGCATATACCGACTGGTCCGATTGCGACTATACTTTGGTGCGTGCCTCTAACCCCGGCTTTTGGCTATTAGTATATTTAAGCTTACACGCTTCAAGCACCATTAAGATTGTTGAACACACAAAACAAACGTCCCATTTGCTTTCGACTGCAGTCCTCAAACCCAAGAGCCAGGCTGTCGCAAGAAAGAGGGACGAAGCGGCGACCCACCCGCATGTCGCAGTAGAGGGTCTTGGAGACGAAGTTGACGGTGACCGGGTAGAAGTCGTTGGGCTTCCCCTGGGCGGAGAACTCCATGCTGCCGCTCTTGTTGGAGGCGTCGATGACTGGCAGCTGCCACTCCAGCAGGCCCTTGCGGCCGTCAAAGGAGTAGTCCCCCTCGCACTCGTTCACCACGGGGGCAGCAGCTCCGGGCCTGCGTAAAAGGTGCCCTAAACTTGTAATTCGTGCGAGCATTAGCAGTACCGGCCCCTTTCACTCTAATGATTTCTTTATCCCCGGGACTACAAACCTTAGATTTATTTTTCCTACTTTATGCCTGCACTGGGACTTCAGTAATGCTTTCGTATATCTGCTGCTGCTAGGCTCACCGACAGGATCAAAACACCAAGGAGGAGCTTCAGTTTTCCTCCCTCCAGCGCAAGCTTCCAACCTTCGAATGTTGCTTCGGCATCTTGAGAGCCTCGAGCAAGAGCTTGCATAGCCAAAGTACAACTAAAGGCAACAAGTATGTGCCGGAGGTTGGGCATAAAAAAAAAAAGCACTGCCACTCAGGGGCGGATGCAGGAATTTCCTGAGGGGGGGTTAGGTGTTGGTCAGAGAGCCATATGTTTAGGAACCCCCTCTCCCTCGTTTCACGCCCTAAATTTTACAGATGCAAAAATCAAGAGGGGGGTCAGGACCTCTGGATGCCCCCTCTAAATCCGCCCCTGCTGCCACTCTTTTTCTTTTATATAATTTGTCCTCACGCCCTTGCGCCTTCTTTCAGGAAGTGGAGGGGCGCCTCAATTGGAGCGAGGTTTGTGAATTCGGCGGTTAGTTTTTTGTTGAACCTCTCTCAGCAACTGTAAAGTCACACTATGTTGCCAGAGAATCGCAATCGACAGCGTCCATTGTCATTCACATTACTAAAACACTCAGTTGGGAAACTTGCCCTTAAAACATGGACTGCTTGCATCTACCGAGATCAAACTGAATATGATAACAGTGCAGCCCTTCAGCGACGAGTCAAAACGTGAAAATTGATCCATATAGCTACTGCGAAATAGCACTCAGAGTTGGCACCACAGGCCTTCGCGCGACTTCACCTGAACCAATACGTGCAGCCGTGCAGTTCCCAGAGTGGCAGCTGCAGAAGAAACGGTGTTGCGATCGCCCTTAGTTCAGTTCTCGAGCACAGACCGGAGCCACTTTTTCAGAGCAGGCTCTATGGAAGTTTCCCAACTGAGTTGTTCTAGTAACATTGACTGTTACCGTTCAATTTTAGATTTGATCGGCCATTTTGGCGTCGGAAAGTATATGGTGCGAGGGGTTTCAGGGCTGCCAACCCCCGTCTCCCAAAAGGACGTGCCGAGAATTACCGCTAAAGTTGGGATGCACCCAGGTCGGGACGCGCCACCTGAAATCACGGCTGAGACACGGTTGTGTAAAAACAACACTTATTGTGCTGCAAAACCTTGTAAACTAAAATTTTATGAAAACATCACGCCCTTGTCATTTTGTACTGACCTCCAATCAAATTTCCTACAAAAAGAATTTTTTTTCGTTTGTTTTTATGCAAAAACATGCCTCCTAAAAGCTGATCGTGACCACAGTAAAGAAAAGAGGTTCAGCCACCATCTTGGTGTATAGAGCATGGGAGTTTTGGTACACTGGGAACACTCAGTGACCCTAGGCAACCGCAACTGTTAGAGATGATATGGCATAATGTTAAAATAATGCAGAATATAGAATGATCATACTCTTTTTCCGTAATTTGTATACATTTTCGTTAAAGCGAACCGTCCTTTTCGCCTCAAAACCCTGTTCTTTTCCAAGGGTTACTTATAAGTATTATTGCACTGCTATTTTATTAATACTAGATATATATATCAGTGTGTCGAACCGAAAAAAATAGGGGTTCGGTTACGGTTCAGGTTCAGGTAAATTTATTTTGTTCCGGTTCAGTTCCGGTTCGATTAATTAGATCCGCGAACCGGTTCGCAAACCGGTTCGGGGCGCTGAACCGGTTCGCGAACCGGTTCGGAAATTATAAATGACAAATTGCAACATCAAAATAACAAAATCAAAATAACATCAAAATAAAAAAAATAAAAAAATTGCAACATCACGTTCTAGAAAAGTGTTATGAAATGAGCACACAGCAGCATTTAGGATTTACGAGATTGTAGGAAAATTATTAAGGTACGTTGTTGGGCTAGTTGGTTCATCTTAGTAAAACATATAAAATAGCACAACAGAAAACAAGGACAAGAAGTAAACAGGACAGGCGCTGTCCTGTTTACTTCTTGTCCTTGTTTTCTGTTGCGCTATTTTATATGTTTTACTAAGTAGGAAAATTAAATCCCGTGATGCGATTTTTTTTTGCACAGCTTTCCAATTTTTTTTTCTTCCGTGCAAGCCGCGACCAGCGCAATAGACCCTTCCCGAAATTCAGTCTGGCCACTTTGATCACTATCATCATCTGTGGAACGGCATCTGTGCCATACCAATGGCGTCCTTCTAGTGACTGGTAAAGGAAGACGTTGAAGATGCTCCTAAGCGGATCTTGCGAGGCCTGTACATTCGGGGGGTCAGTACGACGCGACGTCGGAATGCAACACAAGAGCTACGTAAGCGTTTATTTCTAATAGCTCAGATTCAGTCAATCTGTGGGAGGCACACAATCGGCTCTAAAGCACTTTGGTGTATAGAATTGTTTCGAGGCATCTGAGTGGGTTGGAGCTTTGTTCTGAATGCAGGTTCTTGGTCACCATCGAACTGAAAGTGATCGAGAAAGAACTCACACTGGACAATTCCTCGCGTGCCGTTGACTTGCGAAAGTGGTGGTGCCGATACAAGTTCAATCTCCGCCATTGATATGGCAAAACCTAAACTGCTTTACAAACCACCATTTGGCACTGAATTTCGGAAAGGGTCTATACTGGTTCCTATGTCAAGATTCATGGATGCATCGTTTGTCAAGATTCATGGATGCAGCGTTTATATTCCTAAGACTGAGCGGAGAAGAAAAATATGTAAGCGAGGTGTGTGTCGGTTGACGGCACTTAAAAAACAAATGGCATTGATAGCACATTCATTGTCAACAGCGCGTGGCCGAACCATTTTGACATGAGCCGGTAACCGTTATTTTTTTTCCGGTTCAGTTCCGGTTCGGGTTCATCGTGCTAACAATATAACGGTTCGGATTCGGGTTCAGTTCCGGAAAAAATACCGGTTCGGTTCCGGTTTTCGGTTCGGTTCGGTTCCGGTTCGACACCCTGAGTTTTTTCTTTTTTTATTCTTTCAGATTTGTTTAAAAAAAGCCGTGAAAGCTACACTTATGCGGTTTGTGCAGGTGGATTATACGGCCAGGCGGACATTATGTGGGTGGCTAATCTTTGCGATAAGTCGGCTAATTAATTATAATTCGTTAATTAACTTTTTAATTAGTGAAAATAGACATATGGTTCCAATTAGAAACTTGTAGAGCATTATCGAAAACTACCAAATTAACTCTGTTTAGAAAGGATATAACAACGGGGCAGGATTTTACGGCGTTCTGTAAAAACGTCTTATTTGGACGCGTTTCTAGATTTCAGTTTTTTATCGGAGCGCGTCTATGCGCCCGCGGTCCTGTTCGCCAGTGGCCGAGACGCGCAACACAGGTGAGGGGTGGCTTCGTGCCACGACCACCAGGAAGCAGGACCGCGGGCGCAAAGATGCGCTCCGATAAGAAACCGAAATCTAGAATTGCGTCCAAATGGGGCGTTTTTATAGAACGCCGTAAAATCCTGCCCCAGCGTTATATCCTTCTGAAAAGAGTTGATTTGGTGGTTTTCGATGATGGTCTACAAGTTTCTCATTGGAACCATAGGTTTATTTTCACTAATTAAAAAGTTAGTTAACGAATTTTATTTAATTAGCCGACTAATCGCATAAATTAGCCATCCACTTAATGTGCGCGTAGTCGTATAACCCACGTGCACAAACCACATAAGTGTAGCTTTCACAGCTTTTTTTGAACAAATCTGAATGAATAAAAAAGAAAACCTGTATATATATATAGACGCTTTGCAGCAGCTGTGCATGGATGCCGCCATAACTGACCTTCAGTTTTTGTTTCCTCCTATTCCGTTTATTTCACTTCATCATTACCATAGCAGGCCAGGTTTTGCCACATTAGATTCAACTGTGTCCTTTTCTAAAGCATCGGCCTTTGTGGAGGATCGTCAACTGCCGTTTCAGTTGCTTGGCATCTTGGTAAGACAAGAGAAGGTCAGCAATGGCGGCTGTAATTTGGCGCGTGTGTGAAGGGTCTATATGTATGTATATATCCTTTCAACTTAAAAACCCCCGTAATTAACGAATTTTCAACTCAATTCTTAGCTCTTCCCAGTTCCATAAGCTATATTTCTGCTTATATTATGGAAACTATTATGCAATTTTTTTTTTTTTTAATTAGTGCAGGAAAGAAAAATTTTTGAATCGTACCGAAACACTGACTCCGCCAACACTTAGAAAACCTTCTTCTCAGAGATTCATTACACTTCGTAAGCGATATAAAAAGGCAGATAGTTTGTAGGCGTTTTGCCAGATAGCCTATATGAGTGCCCCAGGGGAGATGTTGATCAAAAAAGACCCAGATTTTTGACCGATAACGCATACACTGGAGGAGTACATTTACAATTTTGGCAATCAGACCAATGTAGAACCAAAGGAGTAGTAAAGTCTAATGTTTTGTGAAGATTGTGGAAGCACATTAATTTAGTTTTGTCTACTCTAAACGACATCTAGGACAACTTCTAGGACAACCTCGAGGACGACTTCTAGGAGGACCTCGAGGAAGACGCCTAGGATGACCTCTTGGACTTCTAGGACGATTTTGAGGACAATGCCTAGAGATGATAACAAGGGATCAGGACCTAACTATCTAATGATGCCAAGGAAGGCTGACTCACGCTGGTTGCCCCCTTTTTATTTTTTACTTATTCATACTTGCCACGACCAATGGGGAGTTTTCTGTCAACATCTGCGGACACAATTTTTCGAGATCCTAGCGTATAACAGCTTCGCTGTAAAATGCATCAAATATGTATAAATGAAGCATTCTCAATTTCTTTTTTTCTTTTTTTAAAGAACTTTTATTGTTTTTTAAAGGGACACTGCTAGGGTATTTATGCTCACCGAGGTTTTTAGTTGTACATGACATATGAG